GGTTGGTTGGGGTTGGATTGAAAAAACGAGGGGTTTAGGGTTTAGGGTTGGTTCTGGTTGGGTTCGAATACACACAAAAATTTAAAATGCTCCCCAACTATGATAAAGAGTCAAAGCCAGATGGCTGGTCAGGCCATGCAAGGGAACGATCACCTTCCAGTGGTAGAGAAGGGTGCCGCACGTAAATGCACCTGTCCTTGCTGGCGAAAACTCATACGGGAGATTCCGAAAATAGGGGACCCTATTTTGGTACCCTAAAAAGTAGGATCCTTATTATAAGGACCCCACAATAAGGTACCACTAATTTTCGGAAACTCCCATACGCGTAATACTTACGGAGGGCTTAGGCGACGGGTGGATAGAAGGCAAAGTAAGGATGGAATCTCTGCGAGAGTGAAAACTGTTGCAAGCACCGCTGTGCAAATTAATACTAGCTAAAGCAGACATGACAAAAATGGTGATGCTGATGATGAGGGTGGCAGTCGTAACGAAGAGCGTGTAGGCTGTTCAGAACGGTGCTGCGGAAAAAGAATGCAAGCACGAACCTCTCCAGTGTATGAATACCTCCTCGTACCTTATAAGCACCCAAACCCCAAACCCTGAACCGTAAAACCTGAATCACCCCTAAGGCAAGCGTCAAGTTCAGGATCCTCCGGCAGGCCTGGTGGTCCATGCAGACGCTGCCGAAGGCGGCAGCCGTCATCACACACAGGTACAACCTGGACTAGCACGGTTCATGGAAGCCCTAATGCGGAAACGGGAACACTAAGTCCTAAAACCTAAAACCCTAAACTCTGTAACCTAAGCTCTGAACGCTAAACCCCATACCCGAAAACTTCCTATACTCTATACCCTGAAAACTAAACCCTGAACCCTAAAACCTTAGTCCGGCTTATTGCAAAGCAGGGAAGCCCATGGAGGTGCCAAGAGAAAATGCCAAGCAAGAAGCCCAAGAGTCCTGTTTCCAGAACACAGGGTTTTTTTTGAGGACCTTTATCCAGTGCATGGAGAGCCCCAGTGAGGCCGGCCAGAACACAGGGTTTAGGGCTTAGGGTTCGCAACCCAAGAGTCCTGTCTCGAGAGCACACATTCGAAATTGTAAGTAGCTGCTGCGCATAGGGGCTACTTGGCATGTGCTTTCTGCTATTAGTGCCGTTTTTAGTAGTAGCAGTAGCAGTAGCGTGAGTCGTCGTCGTCGTAGTCAGTAGCAGTAGCAGCAGCAGCAACAGCAGCAGCAGGAGGAGGAGGAGTGGTAGTGGTAGTGGTAGTGGTAGTGGTAGTGGTAGTGGTAGTGGTAGTGGTAGTGGTAGTGGTAGTGGTAGTGGTAGTGGTAGTGGTAGTGGTAGTAGTAGTAGTAGTAGTTTTAGTCGTAGTAGTAGTAGTAGTTGTTGTAGCAGCAGTAGTATCAGTAGCAGTAGTATCCGTAGCAGTAGTAGCAGTAGTAGTAGCAGTAGTAGTAGTAGTAGTAGTAGTAGTAGCAGTAGTAGTAGTAGTAGTAGTAGCAGCAGCGGTAGTAGTAAGGTGATGCCATTTTCGATCAAGATCGTGATTGCTGTATAGAACATCTCTATATGTATGCATACATATGTATATAATGTGTAAACATGATTATAACACACACACACACAGTATGTGTGGACTTTGCGCAACCTGAGCACACTTGAGCCACGTGCAGGCCACTAGTTATGCGAAATGAACCTTGGCATTGCATAGTTACGCAGAGTTTTTATGTTAAACCGCGGGTACCTTGTCAATGCCCGAAAGTCTCCAAAAGAGCATGTCCCCCATCTAAAATGTCCATACCTCTCCTGCCAGGGTCGTCCACAAAACCACAAACATCTTCTTCTTGCCCGTTGGAGCACGGGCGACGAAGATTGTCTTGCCTGTGGGTTCCAGCTAGACAGCCGAAACAAGAGTTGCGGACCCAAGCCCGAAGCCATACACTGATCTGCAGCGCCCCTTAAGATATATAGCTTCGCACCATCTTTGTGCCAAAACTATTGTCACGCAAACTTAGGCGCCTAAACGGACCCCACAAAAGCGATGCCACTCTGAGAGAACTACCCTTGCGCCGTTTTCGGACTGCGCGGTCGCGCCTTCCTCGTGAGCGCGAAAAGCTTCGTACCCACACCAAAGCCTCGCTCACATGTCATAAAAAGCCTAAGCTCCAAGCCCGGGACGCCCAACCCTAAATCCTAATCCTTAAACCCCTAAACCCTAAAACCCAAACCCTCAGCCCCAAACCCTAATCGTGAAACCACGAACTACGATCCCACGCTCATCGAGCGCCATTTCCCCATACCATCATGGTATTTGGTGTGGCATTTAAGACCTACTTTTCGAATATCCTTTGGGAGTGCATCGGGATTGCATTGGGAGTATAGAGCCCCAAAAAGGTTAAACGCTACTACTAGGCTGAAGAGTGGCCAAAAGCGGCACAAACTCATGACATAACATAGGAGTCTAGGATTTGGGGGATTCCAACTCCCGAACCCAGTCCAGTGATCGAGCCTGGTGTAGATGCTGCAGCGGTGATTGGGCACCACCAGAATGTACGTCGAGGCTTTGAGTGCCAGTGCAAACGGCGAGCTGATTGGAGACTGCAGCAGAGAACCGATGTCTAAATTCTGAGGGTTGGCCAGCATGCAGCACCATGCATGACGCGCATCTGCAGGCCAAGAATGCAGGACCTTCGAAAGGAACTCGAACACACCCTCCTGCCATGCATGGCTGATGAAAAGGTCACAATCCAAACCATCTGGATGTTGCAGCAAAGCCCAGCTCACTTTGCCAAACCGCTCTGTCACTGGCATGATGTGCTGCTTGTTTACTGTGTAGATGCTCGGGCCGTACCTCGTGTCAGAGGCCTGGAAATCGTCGCTTCCATCATCCGGTGGGCGAATTTCCCCACTTTGGATCTCCTTCCGCACCTCCTGGCCCAAGTACTTTAAGTCCGACCGTGTGATGCACCAGCGGTCCGGAGGAACAGACTCATGCAATGCGGTGGCCTCGATGGTCGTGTACGTTCGTGATGTACGCTCCGTCGCATCAAATGAGGATCGCAAGTCCGACAATGAGAACATGGCCCTAAGGCTCCATGTGCCCACATTGAGGTTTTACCCCGAAGCCCTGAAACATAAACGGGCTAGAGGCTAGCAGAAGAGAGGGTGCACGATTCCTGCTCTTAGAGTCCTAGAATAGGCTGCTATTGGGCAACTTACAGCCGCAACTTCATGAGTCAGTGCAATATCTGTCGCAGTATTCGTTTCAGCTTGGGGATCTCGGAAACCAATAGGACCGATTACACTATGTTCATAAAATGGAACCCCCAAATAGTATTGGTAATTCTTCAGGCTCCTATATTGCTTAAGGGAGGAGCTCTTCCTGAGCACAGCGCACGCAGAATGCTCTTGTGCCAGAGCGCGACAGCGCAGGGCGCCAAGCTTTCAATATAGGGGACTTAATAATCAGAATGGGGTTCTGGGGCTCGTTATATAAGAACCCCCAGAGTAGTATAGGTAAGTATCTAGCCCCCTGTATTACACGAACCATAGCAGCCGTTCCTATCACATGTTAACCCTACTCTGTCCTCTCTAAGAACTTCGCGCCCTTTGGAGGAGATGCTGACCAACACCGAAACTGCGAATCCACCAGATTCGCAAACTCTACTCCCGAAGCCCTAACCCCACAATCTCTACCTGTTTTTCTCCTGTTTCATATTTCCGAGTCCAAGTCTTGAGTGGCAGATCCGTGCGGTGAGAATCCGATGGCGTTAAGGTGCAACGATTGTATAGATTGTTCTTTTTCTTCTGGGGAGAAACTGCACTCACCTAAACCATGATGACTCCGCGAACAAGGTTTCCTCACCGGCTAATACATCCACCGAGTGATTCGCAGAAGAGGTCTCAGGGTCTGAGGGATTTATCGGCAGGATCCTCATCCTCAACCCTAAACCCTCAGCACTCAGAGGTGAGGCCTGCAGTACCAAGTATGTATGAAGCTTCGGTAAGCGGCCTCATACTCTGTCCGTGACAAAGTCTCGGTGATGGCGTCGGCATGCGCGAGTCCGATACAAGGATTTTAATGAGTGTATTACGTGCGTGTGTATATATATATATGTATATATAACTATACATATATATATATATACACACATATATATATATATATGTATACACCTGTTTATCTACCAAAAAATGCGCACACAAATCACAGTCAGTGAGGAATACTTTGCCAGGGATGAGGAGCAAAGGGAATTCAAACTTGCGGACTCATACTGCTTTAGAAGCCCAACAGCACCGGTTCCGGTTAATTCGAAGCCCCAAACCCTATAAACCCTTAAGCCTACGCCCCTGAATCGACACCTGAACCCTAATCCTTTAAGTAGGCGGTAACTAACCGAATGCCGTGAGGCCTGTGGCTGGGGAGTTTACGGATTACGGTGGACAAGACAATATTATAGGGGCTGAATAACCAATACTATTTTGGGGGTTCCTTTAAAGTACAATGGGCCCCAAACCCTATTCCAATTATTACGGCCCCTCTATTACCCTAAGCCTAGCGACTTGCTTGAAAGCGCCCTCGTTCGTGGTTGGCTGCGAGTTTTGCACGTATCACGTCGGCGATTTTTTCAAAGGACTGAGTGACCCAAAACCGGCTATTGAGATGTCTTCCTATCCATACAATACATCCATGCGATAAGTTGTGCTGCCTCAAGGCAGCAAGTCGGCTGAAACTGGGTAACTGCGAAGGATGACACAAATCCTGCACTACCTTAATTACCCTAAACTATAGGGGATTATGGTAAACTCCTTACTATATCATCAACAGTAATCAACAGTAGGAAGGGTGAGTCCACAAGCCCAGAAAGAGGGGGCGCATCCATTTTTTGGCCGTCTAAGGCGAACTCACCGTGCAAACCCAGAACCTCCACTCACTCCAGGCTAAGCCCTAAACTCTAAACTCTAATCCCTAAACCCTAATCGCTAAACCCTTTGCACTTATCCCAACTGCTCGGATGAGTCGTCAGAACTGGACGAGTACATGGCACTCTCATGCTCCACGGCCGACACACTTGTGGAATAGACAGGCGCCGTGCCTGCTGCACCTTATCAAGAAAGATCCGGAGTCTTTCATGGTAGCTACAAGGGCAATTATTACAAGGACCTGAATAATTAGAATAGGGGTCTAGGGTAGATTTTGTAGAAGAATCAGAGTATTGTGCTATAGGGGCTATAAGGGGATGCTAGTACTAACTTTCAGAACTGGCATACATATTTGGCAAGTTGGGGGTTTGAGGATGCTAAAGGTCTGGGTATGTCTACTCTGAATGTTAGGTACTTAGGCTCTTGGGCTTGGTGCTAGTTTTGCCGAACCGATCTTTCTTTAAAGTGTAAAAAACGAAACAGAACAAGCGAACCTGCCACAGAGTGCTTTCCCTGCAACCTGGGTGCTAGCGACAGAGCAGTGGCCACGACCAAGGAACAACTGCCTGGGTTCTTGTTAAGGGGTTTAACCATAATAAGGAAGCCCTGCTATCTACTACAGATCCCTATCATGGTGACGTAAAACGAACCCTTAACAAGAACCCAGGTGCAGCATGCAAGGCCCTGCAAACGGAACTTTCGCCAGCCGTTGCATACCCAGACCTTGGGTTAAGCATTTAAGGTCTCCTTTAAAGAATCCAAAGAGGGCTCCAAAAGGATTTTTGGATTTAGGGTTTCCAGAAGGCTATTAGGGTTCAGGGCTCTTTCGTCGCATACCGAGATCTTCGGAGACTATAGGTACAACGTACGCAGCTTGGCCCTGCACCCCAAGCCCAAAGTTACTTTGGTCCTATGTTGCAATCTAGAAGCCCGAATAAGCCCTCATTACATCTGTGCGGTTACGATAATATGGGTACATCTGCGGGATGAAGGAATGCGGTCTTACATGCCTCACAGCATCTAGGGTGTATAGTTTAGAACGTTATGTTTCAAGCGTTGCGTGTTAGGGTTCAGGGTTTCAGGGCATAGGGTGGATAGGACTCGGCGGGTACAGGGCTGAAGGTTCGAAAGTCCAGCAGTCCTCGGTGACTAAGCAGCTGCTCACTGGTGCAAAGATGTGCAAAGTCAGACCGGAAAGTGTACTATAATAGCCTAAGCAATTTCCAATACTATTTTGGGGGTTTCCTTCTTACAGTTGAAGTATATTGGGCGTTAAAGCCCTATAAGACCTGTGTATTCTGGATGCTAGCGCGAGGCGAGCGAACCCAACCGTGATGATGTGCGCTAGCATGATGAAGATTGTAATTGCGTAGAAAACGCAGTCCATCTCAGAAGCAGTCAGTTGCAAGACCGTAACAGTGGGCAGAATGACGATCTGCATAAATGCAACCATCTTTGCCATCATCTTCAGAATGAAGCATCTCTCATCTCTGGCACTACGCCAGAGACTGAAGAGCAGCACAAGACGAGCACAAAAGGAAACCAGGCAGGGAATCCAACGGTAGCACCGATGAAGAAGCACGCCCCTCAGCACCAGCAAGAGGCCGTGAACAAGGAATGGTCCCAGGTCCAAACAGGGAAAGGCCATTTCGGTGTAGCCGGCACCAGAGATGTCGACCCCAGCACGGGCGACTGACCGAAGTGTCGGCGTTGACATCCCCGCAGCGAGTAGCACGTGGATAGCATAGTCGACCTTCGCTGCCAAAACATCTACACAAAGTCAGCTTCAACACATGTATGTACTGACACCACAAATATGCAAAGCATGCAAACTCAACTACTAAGCGACGTCGCTGGTCCTATCACCAATCTCTTGCAAAATTCGCGCCGTGTCAGCTGGTTTGGAACAGGTCGCATGTTCAATGCTGCCTCTCCGGGTAACCCTAGGGCTTGAAACCCTAAAACCTAAACTCTAACCCTGGGGCTTGAACTCTAATCCCTAAACCCTAGACCCTAGGGCTTGGGGCGGGCGCGTAGGGTTGAGGTTTTAAGGCAGCCCGGGACTGAGAGTATTGGTCGAGGAATCTATTCACATGCACAAGCAGACAGCGCACCGATATGTAGGGGCCTCAAGAATTAGAATAAGATTCTGGGCTCCAAAATAGTGTAAGATAAACAAGGAATCCTAGTATTGTAGGTAATCATTTAGTGCCCCCATATTGTGCACAAGATGACACTGCAGCGATATATATGGCAACGCCCCATACAGCAGCAGCCTTGGTTGAAGGAAGGACGCCGAGCGCGGCGACTGTGGTCGCCCTAATGCCCTGGTACGCCTATGAGAGGATCCCTTGGCTCCCTCAATATGGGGGGATTCCGACAAGAGGGGACCCTAAATAGTAGGATCCTTATTGATTATAAGGACCCTACACTAAGGTACCCGAAACTCTCATAGTTTGCATCAAAGCCCGGGGTCCACCAAGTGTTCGTTCAGAGGTCTTAGGCAAAGTGAGGACTGTGTTGAGGTGAAGTAGCACCATGAATCATGCTGTTGCGAGTGATGCAAATGATCACGACGGCGAGTGTTGATGATAGTGGCGGGGATGCTGCTACTGAGAGCGGTGGCTGTGCTGACGGCGAAGACACACAAGCAAGCATGCAGCATGATGCTGAGGATAAACGACGAGACAATGCTAGGACAATGCTTACGATGGTAGCTGCCATGCACTGATGGTGGTGGCGCTGGTGATTTCCATAGTCGTGATGATCATATGACCGTCATCACATGACACAACGGCGTGACAATACTGCCACTGAGAATGGAGACGATGATGATTCGCGAATCTCGTTGATGAGGAAGCAGACGTCATAAACCCCTCTCTCCCTAGCTTGTGGAATATTTGAGCCTTCCATGAAAGGCAGCTGAATTATCAGGGATCTACAACAGTTGTCATCCGGACTATGTTGCAGTCGTGTGGTGACGATGTTGCAAGAGACGATGTCAACGAAGATGGTGTTGGTCATGGTTGTAAAAGTAGGTGTTGGTAGCAGTGGCGGTGCCGGTGTCGATATCAAATTTTAGGCTTCAGGCTTCAGGGCTTAGGGTGGTTGTACAAAGAGGCGCCTTGGAATCCATGACTGAGCTGCTTGGCCTGCTCTCTCTGGCTTTGTCCAATGACGCGGTCGACCTGAAACAGCTACTATAGTTATAGGGCCTTATAGGGGCCTGCATAATTACCTATACTATTTTGGGGGTTCCTTACTATAGCTAGTACAACATACCCCCAATCCCTACTCTCATTGTTAAGGCCCCCATATTACCCATGGTTTTTGCGGCTTCAACGAAAACTGCCTGAAGCAGTGCTTCTGTTCAGTCGGGGTCTTCGCTTTCGATCATCGTGCGCAATGGGGCTAAGGGCGGCTTCAAGGCACGAAGGCTTTCCCAACATGATGTCTGTGCCTCAAGCAGATCGAAGAACACGATGCCAGAAGCAAGAAGAATTCGCTGCATCACATCGGTAAACCGAGGCAGAAGACCGTTGTCGGAAAAGGGAATGACGACCTTCCAGTGGTAGATTAGGGCACCGCACATGAAGGCACCTATCCTTAGCGGCAGTCTCCCAGAGACTCCATAGGAATACTCCTTAAATCATATTAAGGATCCTACTATAGTTTAAGGTATGCTTCTTAAGTACGGGATATTGGAGTCTCTGGGCTCACATTGCGCTGCCCGGCCTTTACGATTTCATGCCAAGAGGTTAACTGATCAATCACGATCTACCGGAAGAGAAGTTTCTTTCACTGGTACTTTGCTCAGAGACGGTTTTGGGTCAGCAGTGGATGGAAGTTTGCATGGTCATGAACGGAGGACGGCTACGGCTACTACTACTACCACTACCACTACCACTACTACCACTACCACTACTACTACTACTACTACGACGACTACCACTACCACTTCTACTGCTACTGCACTACTACTACTACTACTACTACTACTACTACTACTACTACTACTACTACTACTACTACTACTACTACTACTACTAGGACGACTACTACTACGAAAAGTACGGCTCATGCTACGAGCACTGATGCCACTAGCAAAGGTTGCCGCAATGGCAGCATTCTCGGCAGCAGTAGCAGTAGTAGGCGACAAGTAGATCATGTGGAAAATAAACATCGGTGTAGAACAGAAAGATCTTCAACACATTGAAACCCAAAAAAACTCTAAACCCCAAACCCTAAACCCCTTAATCCTAAATGCCTAAACCCCTAAACCTGATTCCCGCAGTCTCGAAGGCAAGCATCCTGTTCAGGAGCTTGCGCCCAGTCTGGTTTTCAATACAGACGCTGCTAAATGCTGCAGCGGTCAGCATAAGCAGGAGCAGGTACAGCCTGGGTTGTTTAGGGTTTAGGGTTTTGGGGTGCAGGGTTTAGGGTTGTTGCTGCTCACGGCTTTGAACTCCGATTTTCATTACTTGAGGGGACATCACAAAAAAGGGATAACCTCTATGTGGTTCTTGATCATCAACAGTACTCTGAAAGCAAAAGATGCGCACGAATAAACTGCTGAGCACAGGAACCCATGAAAGCGCGAACAGAAGATGCCTAGCAAGAAGCCCAGCAGTCCTGAAGCGGTTTAGGGTATACGGCTTAGGGCTTGAGGTCATGACTGGGGTTGGCACATGGCTGGATGGTTTTATTTCAAGGCTGCATTCTAACTGCGCAACTTAACTTGGGAGTGTGTTTATGCCTTGGGCGTAATGATTTGGGGCTTTAGGCTTCATATATAACTCTAGAGAACCAGAAACCCTGAACCTTTAAACCCAAACCAGGCAGTTTAGGGTTTTCTGGGGCTTAAAGTTTAGGGGTATATGACAATGACAGCCAAGCTGAACCTCACGAGGCAGCCTTCGTGAACGATGCCTAACGCAAGACCTTATAGCGATCAGAGCAAAGAATAGGAATAAGCTGTGGGGGTACATTGACCCGACGGAATAGTCAGTTATGCAGGCACCTTTCATGTACAATAAGTTAATATCTAGGATACCCAGTAACCTAAGAATAAAAAGAACTCTCTTTTTGGTATTGGGTAACTTTATAAGGAACCTAGGACTGCAAAAATGGAATAAGGGTACTACTGGGCATCCTAGTTAATATACAATATCCGTCCTGCAAGGGTCGTCCACAGAACGGCGACCATCATCTTCTTTCCGGTCGGAGCCCGCGCGACGAAGACGGTCTTGCCTCAGGGCACGGCATGTTACTATTTGGGCTTTTAGAAGTAGGATACTGTTTCTCAGACGGGTGTATGTTATAGGTATTTGAAGGTGTAGGGGCTTGAAGATTTTGGCATAGGGTTTTGGTGTTCAGTATAGTACAGAACATAGTTAACAAGAAATCCTAAAGAATAGTATCGGCAACAATCTTGGCCCCTAGTACCTTGCACAACTATAAGACCAGAACAGCGCTCTGGGAAAAGACGGTCTTACGATTCATCTGAGAGGAACTTCCCCAGCTCATTTCAAAACCTACAGCCTGGATTGCAATAACTCTTGGATAACCGAACTCACGGTTTAGAACGGTTAAGATCCGAGAACCAAGAAATCAAGTAACCGACAAATGACCGCAGTCCAGAGTCTAAGCAGTTACACTAATCAGCAGAACCACTCTTGTACAATTTTGGGACTTCGTGGTCGTGCCTTCCTCGTGAGCGCGAAAGGCTTCGTACCCACACCAAAGCCTCTCTCAGTTGCCAAGACGGAAGCCACTAACAGGAATCCGAAGACTACAGCTATAGTGGCAGTAATATTGAAACTGACATGACACGCATGTAGGTGGGACTGGAAAGCCTCAGAAAGCTTTCATGCGACGTAGTCGAATGGGGCATTGCCCCTTGGCCGCACTAACTCAAAGAGGCCAAAGCATCGATATAGTACAATGTAGGGTTTCTACCAGGACACCCCAAGTACCCTTTAATAGAGCCCGAATGGCCCTTAATAGTGGGTATTTGCGGTATGTTAGAAGGTAGTTGGGGGGTCTAGGTATATTCGGAATAACCATTATGATGTGGGGAAGTATCCCCCATAATTTACCTTTGGTTAGTAGGGAATGGAAGAATGGTAGCAATAGCAGGTATAATTGTATCGCATTCCTCCATTCCCTACTAACCAAATGTAGGCTAACAGTACCTAGGACCTTTCGTGTAACTCATGGAACGGTGTACTCTCGTACTTACCCAGAGGCTCCATAGTAATCCCTTTTTGGGATTACCTTGTAGGATTCTATATATGAACCCCCAAAAAGGAACTACTATGGAGCCTTAGGGTATTGCCAGGGTCTGAATTATAGTTAGAATTTCGGGATACTGGTACAGGTAATGGGGGGACCCCTAAGTCATAGTTTTACATAGTCTTGCTAATTATTCAGGCGTTTCGATTCCTCCTGCGGTTGAGCCTCGTGTAGATGCTGCAGCGGTGATTTGGCACCACAAGAACATAGGTCGAGGCTTTGAGTGCCAATGCAAACGGTGAGCTGCTTGGAGACTGCAGCAAGGAACCGATGTCCAAATTCTGAGGGTTGGCCAGCATACAGCACCAGGCGTGTCGTGCATCTGCAGGCCACGAAAGCAGGACCTTCGAAACGAACTCGAAAATACCCTCCTGCCATGCATGGCTGATGAAGAGATCACAGTCCAGACCATCTGGATGTTGCAACAGAGCCCAGCTCACTTTGCCAAACCTTTGCGTCAGCGGCATGATGTGCTGCTTGTTCACCGTGTAAATGCTTGGGCCATAGGCCGTGTCAGAGGCCTGGAAATCGTCGCTTCCATCATCCGGTGGCCGAATGTCCCCATGTTGGAGAGCGTTTCGCACCTGGGAGTCTCAGAATCTGGAGAATCCCAAACCATGAACCCTGAAGATAAGGATCCTTTTGTTAGCGGCCCTCATTACATAAATGACCTCTCTTTTCAAAAACCGCCCACCTCCTGGCCCAAGTATCTTAAGTCCGCGCGTGTGATGCACCAGCGGTCCGGGGGAACAGACTCGTGCAAGGCGTTGGCCTCGATGGTGGTGTACGTCCGTGAAGAACGCTCCAGCGCAGCAAACGAGAATCGTAAGTCTGGCAATGACAGTGAGAACATGGGCTACAGGCTGACGGTGTGCCCTGAACCCTAAACTACTTTGGCTTGAGTACCCGCGCCTTCTATGTCAATTGAGAGTTTACCTCGTCGAAGCCCTAAACCATACACAGGCTGGAGGTTGAAATTGAGGGTTCAAGATACTTGCGCTGAGAGTCTCTGCAGTAGAGTGGGCTGAAACTTTAAGGTGTAACTTACGTCCGCAACTTCATGATTCAGTGCAATATCTGTGGCGGTATTCGATTCAGCTTCGGGATCTCGATATCAGGCTCCGCTGACCAGGGTTTGGGGTTGCACTCATTGGCTAAGCGGAGCTTTGCCTGAACACGACACACGCAGAACGTTCTTGTGCCAGAGCGCGACACTCAGGACGCCAAGCTTTCAGTGCACCTACACGAACCATAACAGCCGTTCCTACCACATGGAAAACTAGAACTACTCTTTCGTATGTAAGAACTTCGAACCCTGAGATCCTGAACAGCAACGAAGGAATCGCGAATCTACCAGATGATCAAACTCTACTCCTGAAGCCCTGAATCCGATCGAATGCTAAAATCTCAACCTGTTTGGGTAGTTTCCTTTCTTTTTATGCTTCTGCGTGGAGCTAGTATAGACTATAGGGGCTTCTGGGGTTAGGATCCAAGCGGGCTCAGCGCTGAAGCCTTGAGAGGCGTAAGATGCAGAGACTGGATATGGCAGGTTGTTCTGTCTCTTCTAAACAAAAGCTGCGCTCAACTATAGGACAAGCTTTGATGAGTCCTGCCGGCCAGAGTACCTACCCCCAGCGTCCAGTGTCGAAGACACTCTCCACGGGTTAATGTAGGAACCTGATAAAGAAACCCTGGGCCTATAACCCCAAACTAGTAGGTTTCATCTAAAGAACCCTAATAAAGGCCCAAAGTTTCTTATTCAGGTTCCTACATTATTATAGTAACCTTATAGATCCCTTATAGACCCCTTTAAAGAACCCCAATAAAGGACCAAGGTGTGTGATTCAGATTCCTACATTCGTCAGCAAGCCCAGCAGGAGGGGGGCGCATCCATCCTTTTTTGACTTCCGAGGCGAACTCATCATGCAACTCTAAAATCCCTTAATTAAGGAATATTCCTTAAATTATTGTAGGGATCCCTACTATAAACTAAGGAATATTCCTTTAATCATATTAGGGATCCCTACTATAATTTAAGGAATATTCCTTAAATCATATTAGGGATCTCCACTATAGTTTAAGGAATATTCCTGAATTGAGGGATATTGGAGTATCTGGGTCATCATGGAACTCTAGAGCCTTCACTCTAAGCCCAAATAAGCCAAATAACCTAAGATTAAGAAACCTTGGGCCTTAATTGGGGTTCTTTGAAGGCATGTAGGAGCCTGATTAAGAAACCTGGGGCCGTTATTGGGGTTTCCTTATATGAATCCTCCTTTTTTTGGTGTTATAGGCCCAGGGTTTCTTAATCAGGTTCCTACATTACCGCTTGAAGGATTGATGCAAGTAAAACGGTAAGTTTTAAACGGTTTCGGTTCACTCTGAGCCCTACTTTCACTACTCCGATGAGTCGTCAGAACTGGACGAGTACGTGTGACTCTCGTGCTCCATGGCCGATACCATGGGCGAACAGACAGGCGCCGCGCCTGCTGCACCTTATGCGAAAGGACCCGGAGTCTGTCATTGCGGGTATCTGGGCTAATAAAAGAGTTGTAGGGTATATGCAGTAGGGAATTTCAGAGTAGCGTTCTACAGAGACTGTAAGAAGGAAGCTAGGACCAACAGCTCAAACTCTCCGGATTACATATTAGGGTTTGAGCAAGCCGAGGGCTCGGGCGTGTCCAAAATCGACATCGCTGGAAGAGTGTTAGGGTTTAGGGTTTTAGGGTAACTTCTTTATTAAAAATGTTAGGTACTTGAGCCAACAGGGCTTGGTGTGCCCATTTCTGTATGCCTAATCGAGGTTCGGGTGTACGGGAAGCTATTTGCCTGCGACCTCGGTGCTAGCGACACTGCAGCGGCCACGACCAAGGAACAACTGTAGCATGCAAGGCCCTGCAAGCGGAAGTCTCGCCAATCGTCGCATACCTAGACCTTCAGCGGACCGAGCAGGGGACCACAGGGCTTACAACTACCTGAAAAAGCTGAGAATTGACACTGCCCTTTTTTGCCCTATCCAAGGGCTCATGTCGCTCTAGCACCCTATTCCTTATGCACTCTGCTGCGTCTGAAACCCACAGCATTAACAAACCATATGTGCCATATATATATATATATATATATGTATATATAGATACATAGCACACACAAACACAATACATATACATATACATATACATATACATATACATATACATATACATATACATATACATATACATATATATATATATATATGGTCCTAACACATTCTACAAACCCCTCTTTAAGCCGTAAGTATATAAGTCAATGGTAGATGGCCTTTGGGGTAAGCTCTGGTGCTTTGGGTTCAGAACTTATAGGGATACCGAGTTTCAGGATTTCCTAGTTTAGGCTCACAAACCCTACCAAAAACCCGAAACCCTTCACCCTGAAACACAGAGTCTAGGGCGTAGAGTCACTAGGGCCCTTAGGGGCGTAAGGGGGACGGGTTAGGGGACTATACTTCCTAAATAGGACTTTACTCACCCGCTATCAGGTCCTTATTTGTGGTATACGGCCCCCTGCTTGGAGGGGCAGGGGACTTAGTAAGTAGGTTATAAGTAGGGTTATAATTGAGGTAACTCCATTTAGGGTACTTATAACTCTACTTATAACCTACTTACTAAGTCCCCTGCCCTTCCCCCTCCCCCCCGACTGAGGGTCCCTGTTCCTTAGTTTTCAAGGATTGAGTGCGTGTTCAGGGTGGCAGGGCTCAGGGTAGATCGGACACATGGTCCAAGGGGTGTAGGATAGGGCGCAAGGGTTTAGGGTTTATAGGCTTCAGAGTTGAGTTGAGCGTTGAGGGTTTAGGGTTTAGGCTTAAGGATTTTTCAGGATTAAGTTTAAGGGTGTAGGGTCTAGAGAGAGTTTGGGGTTTGGGATTTGAAGTTTAGGACCCAGGGTGACTAAGGATCTGCCCTCGGATGGACGAGATAGACAGGAACTGGGCTCTTGTTAAGGATCTTAGCTTAAGTTATCATAACAGAGCATGTATAGAGACAAATTACGGCCTCCTGGGTTTCCTCATTATGGTACTTTAATTAAATTCCTTGTAAAACACTCTTGTTGCAAGCAGATGGCAAGCGAAGCCAACCATGATGATGTGCATAAGCATGATGGAGATCGTAATCGTGTAGAAAACTCCATCAGTCTCCTGGGATACCCAGTAACCTAAGAACAAAAAGTCCTCTCTTTTTGGTATTCGGTAACTTATATAAGGAACCTAGGACTACAAAAAGGGAATAAGGGTACTACTGGGCATCCTAGTCTCTGTAGTAGTCAGTTGCAGCACCGTAACAGTCGGCAAGACAAGGACCTGCAAAGTCGCAATCATCTTTGACATCATCTTCAGAATAAAGCATCTCTCATCTTTCGCACTATGCCAGAGACAATAGAGCAGAAAAAGACGAGCACACACCTGGGATTTGAAGTAGCAAGGAAGAAAAAAGTGTAGACTTTAATCTCATAATGGTTCCCTTAAAGTAACAGGTCCCCCCCAAAAATAGTAGTAAAGTATAGAATTATAGGGGCCCTTCACCCATCATGCTATCAGTACAGTAAGGACCCCCCCCCCAAAAAAAAAAAAAAAAAAAAAAAGTAGTATGAAAGTATGGTACTCCAAAGCGAGGACACGGAAACCAGGCAAGGAATCCAGCGCTCGCAGCGATGGAGCAGTCCATCTTTCAGGAGAAGCCCGAGGTCGTGAATAAGAAATGGTCCCAGATCCAAACCTTACTGTTGATAGACAAAATCCTGCATTACCCATTATAAGGAATATACCATAGTTTCCCATAGTTTAGAGTCCTTAGGCTCATGCAGGATTTTGTCCATCAGCAGTAGTGCCCAAACAAGGTTTATATAGGGGCTTTAAGAGTTGGACTAAGGGGTTCCTTTTAAGGGAGTCCTTTATACAGGGGTCTATAGGGGATCTAGAATAGGGTTCTGGAATTTAAGGGGCTTAATAATTAGAACAGGGTTTTGGGGTTCCATAAAACCCCCAACATAGTAAGGGTTTAGGGTCTAGGGTTTAGGGGTTTAAGGCTTAGGGGTTTAGGGTTTACGGGGTGTCTGAGCACCCTCGCCCCAAGAAAGTTAACCTTTTCAGTTCTGGTAGGGTTATATAAACCCCAAAAGGTTAAAGGTTACCTACACTCAGCTACTGAGAGACAGGGAAAGGCCATTTCGGTATAGCCTGCACCAGAGATGTCGACCCCTGCGCGGGCAACTATTCGAAGCGTCGGCGTCGACATCCCAGCAGCGAGCAGCACGTGGATAGCATAGTCGACCTTAGAAGGAGGGTTCGTAAGCCCGAGATAAGCTCCCAGTGGCAACTAGGGCTTTCATGTGAAAAAGCATGCAAACTCAACTTAACACCTTAGTATATAGCTATAGCGTAAATATATCCCCCGAGCCCTATTCTAAGTATTGAGGCCCCTATATTGCCAAGCTACATCGCTGGTCCTCTCACCGATCTCCTGCAAAATCCGCGCAGTGTCGGCAGCTTGGGAGCAGGTCGCATATTCGATGCTGCCTCTCCCAGGGGTGGCAGGGGGTACTACGGTTGATGATATAAATCCTGCATTACCCATAATAAGGAATATACCATAATTCCCATAGTTTAGGGACCTTAATAAAGCCCCCCTATATCGGTACTTAGCACGCGGTTTTAAGGGTTCAACCAGGGGGTGTGAGTAATAGTCCAGGAATCTATAGCGCAGTTGCACCGATTTGGCGACGTCCCGGCGGCAACCCAGAACCACCACGTGGATGGATTAAAGAAGCGCAGCTGAAGGTGGCTACAGATAGAAGTTAGTCTTATAGTTTTTCGATGTT